ATTGTTGCATCTGCATCTTTGAGGGAGATGATTAAACCTGGAGCCCTAGCTATCATATCCCCCACGGTTGTTGGTGAGTCTTGCACTCGTTAATCATTTTCTTCATGCTTTACGATAACTGTTTTCCTGCTAAAACCCATAAACTGCATATCTCTGTCTAGCCAATTGAGCAAAGGTTTCTTAAGAATTATTGCAAGCTTTTAGATTTGTAGTTATCACTGTTTTTTGATAAAATGTATCGCTATTAGTCAACTGTGTTTGGTCCTTTAGAACTCTTTGTTTAAACTTTTAAGTCTTGTCTAAATTTGCCTTCTGATATAATCTCTGTCATGGATTTATTCAATCAGTTCGTTAATCTTCTCATGTATGTGCTCTTAGATGCATCTGCTTGCAATTTCTGTGGAGTGTCTGGGTAAATTATCTGCTACTTTAACTCTCTTTGAATCACATCATCAGGTCGTTTTTATCTTTTTTTTCCCTTTTATTACTTGTTTGTGTTTTCAATTATTCCCGCCTGTTCATTTTGTGGAAGCTTAGCCACTTGATATTGCAAAGTAACAACTAGCTTAGAATTGCAAAAGGGGTGTTGTGAGGTGAGGTATCACTGAGAAATGGGAGTTTTGCTAATCATTAAGTGATATCAATGAGCACCTACATCTGTACAAATCTTACCTTGCATGTCTTTCTGCTGAAACATCTACACTTGTCCAAATTCTATGCGTTCACCACATCGCGTGATTCTCTGTTGATTATTTTCCTCAGCAGTGACCGTACTATATGTTACCTGAATATAGTACATGTCAATTATTTTCTCATCGTTCCTGTTAGGTTACGTCTATTGTCTCTGCACTCTGTAGTTTATCTTTGGTGCCTCCACCATATTATAAGTAGAATCCGAGGGAGAATTCTTTGCAATCTGTTTATTCTCCTTTTGTGCACACATACCTGCAAATTCTAATTCTTAATTGTGCTTTCAAGTTTGTGTTTTCATAATCTTCTTTGATCTCAGTATAGAATTTTGAGCCTATTGTGTTCATCTTGGGCTCTGTACAGGTTTTCTTTTCCGCATTTTGGGCTACTACACAGGACATCCTCTTCTTGGGGCTAAAGTTGTAGCGTCCATGTTGATGTTTGCCACGGTTTCTGGTATTCTTATGGCTCTTTTCCTCAACACTGCTGGCGGAGCCTGGGATAATGCAAAGAAGTACATAGAAACTGGCGCTCTTGGAGGCAAGGGGAGCGACACCCACAAAGCAGCAGTTACAGGAGACACGTAAGTGTTGTTAGATGATTCATATGTTCTCAAGCTATGTTGTTTCGATTCTTCGAGAATGACGGGCCGCGCCCATATCGGATCTTCCAAATATTTCTGGAAGATCCGACACGGGTGTGATAATATTTTTGAAGGATCCGAGCAATCAAGTGTTTGTAGAGTCGTATTACTCACAGGTCATTGATGCAGCTCTGTTATATGCATTCATTTTGTTCTTTTGCTTGCATTATTGTTCTAAATTCTCATGAGTCATGACAATAGATCTTCTCTTAAGTTAATAAAATTATACGGGCCGTGCTGCACAGTACTTACAATTTCTTTTGTGTTTGTAGGGTAGGAGACCCATTCAAAGATACAGCCGGGCCTTCTCTGCATGTACTAATCAAAATGCTTGCGACAATAACCCTTGTGATGGCACCTATCTTTCTATGAGAGTTAAAGTTAATAGATTTTTAATTATACGGCATGAATTTCTAGGAGCTTTTCTATGTTCATTGGATATTGACGAGAGATGTAATTTCCTAGTTATAAAACGAGAATACCACATTTTTTGGCACATGAATTCCAACTATAGGCAACTCTTTTTTAGTTTTAGATCTCTGAATTCTCGGTTAAAGCTGTTTCTTTCGCTTCCCAAATGTTTGCTTGGTTGCTGTTTCCTTTCATGGTTTGTTTTTAGTTCCTTTTTCATTAATAATGTTGTTCCGAGACATGAAACTAAACAAGGTTCATATCTAAGTATATTGATCGCTAATTTAATTGCTAATTATTCACAGTTTAGAAAGCACTCCGTCTTAGTTTTCCGGCCCTGCCTTCACTTGGGCAGTTTAAATTACTGATAGTTCAAACAGGATAGTAGTATTACATGTTGTCTCAAAGAAAAAAGTCTCTCTGTTGTGATGCCAAGTGTTACGCTCTAAAGCAGATTTTCCATTGGCAAAATACAAGAAATGTTGGGCGGACAACAAAGTAGATTGATACGTTTTAACACCGCGCAGGTCTTAGGCTAATCTGGCAGTACCGCTAGTAGATTGAACTTTACACAATACCTGTAAATAAAAAAATTTACATCACCGCTGGGCGGTCCTCCAACATACTACTTTGATAAGTGTATAGGTGAATTTTTATCGTGGAGAGTACCACAAAAAAAAAAAAAAAAAAAAAAAAAAAAAAAAAAAAAAAGAAATTCAGGAGCTTTGTTAGCTTAGATATACAAAAAGTAGAAAGAGAAGTGTTATTCAACCAAAAACTTGAATCTCCAAGAAGTGATGGCAATAAGAGCTAAGTTTGAATACGATAGGACTATTAGGTTATACCCTCAAGTTTCTGGGTAAGCATAAAACTTTGCAGGTATTTCCAATAACGAAGGTTAAATTAAGGCCCCACTTTCCCATGCGAGGAACCATCATTATTTAAACCAAATATAATATGGTGATAATCATAAGAAATTCTATGGTAAAATTACAAAACCTTAACATAAATGCGTCAAGATTATAAAGGAGTACGCGGAGATATCCTTTTGAAAGATTCACATGACTACAAAAGTTAAAAGAGACTTGGGTCTAATGATGACTAAATAACATATTTAAATGTGGAGCTCATAATTAATAAAGTTATGGATGCACTAAAATAACTATTTGAAGGAATCATATTAGTGTTTTATAAACAAAAAAAAGTTATAAAAGTAACAAAAGTGGCATATGAATATGGGATTAGGTGAGGAAAAACTATGGGGTGGTTGGCCTCATTCATTGTATATATTTTTACTGTCAATCCTGGACTGCACGTGGGCGGCCTAAATTTTTGTCTAGACAAATAGGCAAGTTGTTCGAAAAATAGATCGGCACGATACTAAAGACAAAGTAAAATAACTACGTTATTTTGTAGTTTCTTAATCTTAGAGAAATAATAACTAATAACACTTGGATTCATAACTTCATCAACTTGTAACTGAAGTGTTATCATTGTTATTGGTATTTAGATAGTGATAAATATACTTTTGGAATAAAATTTACATGAATAAATACTATCGTTTCAAAAGTACTATTAAACTGTTAATGAAAACATCCCCACAATCAAACAATTCTTTTTATTTGATTGCTTAAAAAAGCAAGTCAAACAAATTAGAGTTATCTTTAATTAAAGGGAAACAAAGTGTGAAACAAAGCTAACGTAATGTATGATTAATACTGTATTATTTATTCTCCATCTTTTATAAATATCACAGCTTACAAAAAATCTTGGGTACGCCTATGTGTACACGTAGTGATCATGTGTTATTGAAATTATTTTGCTATGTTATTTTGTCTTTGTTTCTTTTTCATTTTCTTTGTTTTTAAAAAGAAAAAGCTACAGAAGAGATACTTTACAATTTAGGAGGCTAATTAAGAATAATGCATTTCATCATGTCTGTTTGACCTGGTATGTCGAACATAGCTAGGACAAGAAAGGAGAAAAGCCAATAATAGGAAAATAGAAAATTGCGTGCACTAGGAAACTAGGTGAGTTGTTTAATTAGTGGGAGCAGAGAAGGTCGGAAAATTCTACAGACAACATAAATAGCAATTTTACCAAAATTAACTCTTTTGAAAGAAACAGATATACACGAATGTTTGTACACTGTTATTTCATCGCCTCGACCTAACACGCTTGAACCCTAAGTCATGATACACGTAAAGCCAATGAGGAAATTGGAATTTCTAAACGACTAAAAACAGATAATTAAGTCAATACACGAATCATGATTTAACCCGTTCAAAAATTTACTTAGGCTAATAATTGGTTGGGTAATTAATCTGAAGAATATGTGTTATAGCAATACTTGAAGAATTATGGGTAATTAATACGAAGAATGTGAGTTATTTCGTACATGTACTAGTGGAATCTTAACGAATATCCGAAGGAATAGTAAATACATGTAAATTGGCTTAAAAACTTTATTGTGGCGAAGGAGAATTGTTTGTGATGTTATATTATACTTTGAATGTTCCAAACATGTAAAAACATTAACCGGTAAGAATCATTGTGTACGGATAAAACCGAGCCTATGGGCTGCCTTGATTTCCGATGAAGTAAATAGAGCGAGTGACGTGAAGGCAAGGAACCCAAATCGAGGCAAGGAGCTCCTCGATCCGGGGTCCGGGCAAAACACCTGCCCTCGAGAGTATTGCGGTCATGGCCCTATGTCCGTTTCGAACCCCAAAGGCCCCGGAGAGCATTATCAGGTAACCGAGCACGACCAACAAAAGACCGTAATATCCACAACAAGCCGGATATCACGACACGTATCGACATAGAACCAGTGATTATTTAAATGAAAGATTTTTACCTTTTATGGAATTGTACTTAGGGTAAAATTCCCTTACTATATAAGGAGGGAGGGGGAGGGTCTGATTATTCATTAGATACATTGTAACACGCGCATCAAGACAATCTACTTTACTTTTTCTCTGTTATTGAAAGTTCTTATTTTTGTTCACCAAGTGCTTCGTTGTAGTGAGTCCGGGATCGAAGGCATGCATTTCATCAAGGCTGTTATCGAGTTCGATTTCACCCCCCATAATTGGTTTGATACTTTATTACGTCTTTTATTTGTTTAACCTAACGCAATCTACTATTTATATTGAATTAATTCACATATCCTTAAAATCACATATAAATTCAATTATTATCCGCTTTTGAGGGTAATCAGTTTGGCGTACACCGTGGGGATAAGGATAATAGTGGCTATTTGATCTAAATTTCCACAACACACTCTGCTTTACTCTTGTTCTTTGAGATCTTAATTTCAGGAAAACTTAAGGATGTCAAACTCTCAATCTGCTCACATAAACGTTGATGCTGAATCTGACGACCACGGCGAGAACAATAATATAGTGCCCAACAACGAGGTTTACCCTGCTGACCCCAACAGAGTCCTAGTCGTAGATCCAATCGATTCCAACTCCCATGCGGCCATCGACGCTAACTTGCCCATCGATCCGGAAAACAACATTCATGGGGGAGCCAGATCGGTAGCCAGGGATACACACAACGGTGAAGGCGATGAGATCAACTTGCGGGTGATTTTCGAAATGTTACAGGCTCAACAGGCAGTGATAGTCCAGTTGCAGAACCAAGGCCACATCCCCAATAGAGTTGAGCCCGAACCATCCCGAAAAAACACTCGCTGAAATGAACCAGTCACAGAAAGACCGATGAAGCTGAATCTGAGACCAGCCCCGAGATAATAAAGATGCTCGAGGAATTGTCAAAACGGGTAGAATTGGGAGAAAAGAAAATCGAAGCTAACAACAAAAAGGTGGATACCTATAACTCTAGGGTCGATCAAATCCAGGTGGACCACTGATATTGAAAGGCCTGGATTCCAAGAAGTTTATCCAAAAACCTTTCCCTCCGAGCGCAACTCCGAAGCCGATCCCTAAGAAGTTCTATAAGCCCGAAATCCCGAAGTATAATGGAACGACAAATTCAAATGAACATGTGAGCTCTTACATATGCTCCATCAAGGGGAATGACTTGGAGGACGATGAAATCGAATCTGTTCTGCTGAAAAAGTTCGGAGAGACCTTGTCAAAAGGAGCTATGATATGGTATCACAACTTACCCCCTAATTCTATTGACTCGTTTGCTATGCTTGTAGATGCCTTTGTAAAAGCACACAGCGATGCCATCAAGGTCGAGACCAGGAAGTCAGACCTTTTCAAGGTAAAGCAAAGAGATAACGAGATGCTCAGGGAATTCGTGTCGAGGTTTCAAATGGAACGGATGGATTTGCCTCCTGTGGCAGACCACTGGGCCGTTTAGGCATTCATCCAAGGACTCAATCCCCAAAGCTCGTTGGCTTCACAATAGTTGAGGCAAAATTTGATAGAATACCCGGTGTTAACTTGGACTGACGTCCATAACATGTACCAATAAAAAATCAGAGTCGAAGATGATCAGCTCGGGACCCCTTCCGGGTCCATTTACCCTGTCATGACCAGTGACAGATCCAAAAGAGCCATCGACTACGAACCAAGATCGAATATAGATCGGTATCAATCATACAATGGAGATCAAATGAGAAGTGGGTCCGAATGTAACCTCGCGAGGAGTGAAAGAAGGAGTGATCGAGGTCATAATAATCAAGGACTCATGAGCAAAAACAGTTTTGATAGGCCCATCGGGTTGAAGGAAGCACCAACGTTATCGGAGTACAACTTAAATGTCAACGCTGCCGGTATCGTATAAGCTATCGAATGCATCAAAAATACTAAGTGGCCTCGGTCATTGTAGTCTGATACTGCCCAAAGGGACCCTATTCTAATGTGTAAATATTATGTCACCTACGGCCACAAAACCGAAGACTGCCGACAACTGAGAGAAGAAGTTGCCCGATTATTCAACAATGGGCACCTCCGAGAATTTCTGAGTGATCGAGCCAAAAATCACTTCACGAATAGGGACACCAACAAATAGATCGAGGAAAAGGAACCCCAGCACGTCATTAACATGATCATTGGTGGAGTTGACATCTTCTATGGGCCGATGTTGAAACGCACTAAAGTATCCATTACAAGGGAAAAATGGACTCGAGACTATGTACCAGAAGGAATCGTATATTTCAATGACGAGGACACTGAAGGCATCGTGCAAC